AAAGAGTTGATTCATTTTTAAAATTTAGAGATTTTTCTTTCTCATTACCCTGTGTTGGCAGGACAGGGACTTCCTGGGATTTTGCTCCAGAAAAAGTCAAGACAGCGCCCCTTGACAAGTCAAGGACATGCAATGAGCATATCTCCTGCTTTGTTATCCCTGCTAGGGCTAACTCTGGTGAAAGCAACAGCAGCAGCAGTAGGCAAGAGGTACCCGAACAAGAAACTGCTAAATTTGTAAGAAGAGAAAGTATACCAGGAAATGACATTTGAGGTGTCAGAGAGATTGGTTAATACAGCTGACTGGAACTGAGGTTAAGAACAGCTACTAAATTACTGCTAGAATACTTGGGGAACATGGCAGCAGAAAGTCTACTGGTATACAGAAGTGTGTACTGTAGAGCCACAGAGCTCAACCATGCTAACAGCCCAGTAAAAATAACAAAACACAAGCAAAGCTATTTCAGAGCACATCCCTGAGAACAGGCCAAAGATCAGAACTTAGGAAGTGTGGGAGCATCCATTTCCTTCTGCTATAATATCATTGCATTTTGCAACGGTCATAAGAGCAAATTCCAGTAGTCTAATGCAGGAGAATAATGTGAGAGAGAAGGGAATGTACTGAGAACATGTTCCCAGCGGAAGTGCAGGGTGAGGAATGCAAACATCTTCAGGAATGGGGAGGTTCAGAAAGGGTGTCACACTGACCCTGAGATGGCCAAACCCTGCTGGACCCCAGAATTTGGGGGTAGAGGATAAAACACATTCAAGAAAGAATTTTTTAAAAAGAAAAGAATATTGGAGAAAAGGCAAGAGTAAGTGAAAATTGATATCACTGAAATGAAAATGCCAAAAACAAAGAAACATTTAAAACACTCATGACCTCTCTCAATAGCAGCCTCATCAAAGAAATGGAGCTGGTAGAGAACACAGGCAACAAAGGTTTGCCCAGGGCTCCACCAGAAAGATCACCAGAGCAGGCGGGCAGCCACATTTGGATTATACATAGCCTACAGAAGCAGAGATGCTTGAAATTCAGAATCCTGAAAGTCTCCCCAACTAGAAGACACAATGAATGCAGTTTTACTGCAGGGCTTTCTAACAACAGCTGCATAGAAGGCCCAGAGCTATACTGTGACAACCACAGGACACCAAAACTTGGGCAGTAAGAAAATGAAAAGAAAGCACTATTTCTCCTCCTACAAAGGGTAGGGGGGAAATATCTGTGGCCTAGGTACGTCTGTCTAAAAGCATATCTCTTGATTTAGGGAAGGAAGAGGAACTGGGTGTGGCAAGGAGGATGTGCAGGTGACAATGATCAGTATGATTATTTTTAAACTCTGGCAAGAAATGACCATTTAAAAGGGTGTGCTGATTTCAGTTACCCATCTATGGGGAGAGGGAAGTGAAATCACACGGGTTTTAGAGTTGGATTGACCTGGATTCAAATGTGGACAAGCTATTTAACTCTTGTAGGCCTATTTCCTCCTTTGCAAAATGGACATAATTGTTTTACCTACTTCAAAGGGGACTGAGAGGATTAAAAGAAATAATGTGTGAAAAGCGCTTAACACAAGGACTGACACAGAATAAGCATTGAGTATATACACTTGTTAAAATGTATATTATGCATTGTAGAAGGAGTGTGTGTGTGTGTGTGCGTGAGAGAGAGAGAGAGAAACAGAGAGAGAGGATTGTGTGTCTAACAAAGGGTTCATGGTTACCCTTACTATTGCATGTTATCATGGTTAACACTGGACAAGCAGGTGCAGGGTACAGAGGACATCTCTGCCCCAAAATATCAATGAGCAAATAACAATGGCAGGGTTGTGCCATTGGAAACCCTCTCATAAGGAAAGGGATCCCTTACTCTTCCCTGTACTGCAAGAACCACAATATTTTCATCTCTAAAAAGTCTCCAAGAGGGACTGAGGGGCTGGGGATATAGCTCAGTTGGTAGAGTGTTTGCCTCGCAAGTACAAGGCTCTGGGTTCAATCCCCAGCACCATCAAAAGAAAAAGTCTCCAAGAGGTAAAATAAGTAAATAAATAAAAATCTAAGAGATCCACAGACTCCATCTTGAAGAGGCTACCTGAAAGTTAACAGACTATCAGCTTCCAAGGAAGGGACCCTGAAGCTGCCTTGCTCCACCCCTGGGGGAATCACAATAGCACAAAGCTGCTTTGCACGTAGCCAGTCAAGTTGGAGTCCCAGCTGTTGGAAAAGCAAGTCCCCTAGCCTTTGCATTTGAACTGCAGCATGTCTCAAAGGCATAAAACAAGAGGACCTCACTTCCCAGCCTCTGTATTTCAGCTGGTCACCTCTATGGGCCAAAAGGTACACCTCAGGCTCAATGCTGAAAGCCTTTCACCTGCACTGGGTGGCATGAGGCCCCTGCTTCCTGCTCTAACAGGGCTGGGCCCTCCACAATGAAACAAACCAATTTGGCTTTTAATCTGCAGCAAGTCACTTCAATTAGCTGGGGTCAGAACAGAGAAGGGACTTTCAGAAGAAAGATAAATTGTAAGGCCTGAAAGGTTGGCAGGGCTTTAAAGTGGGGACAGGGGAGGGAAGAACACAGCAACCCCAGATTACAACAAAGGTCAACAGGGTCTTCCAAGTATAATCCCACTGCACCAACCAAAGGCCTCCTCAGAACAGACAGGAAAGGACCACATCCCTCCCACCTCCCAGCCTGCCCAAGTCCCTGTCTCAATAATGGCCTCATATTGTGCAGGGCTAGGGTTCCTCTGTTCCCATACGCTGTCATACTATAATATTTGCTCTGCTTCCTTCCTTTCCAAAGCCTAACAGATTAGATTGCCAGAGTTGTATCTACCTCACTAAGACAGATGGGAAACTGAAAGTAAGGCAACCCAAACTCTGCTCACGACAGGAACAGAGGAGGCAGAGCAACCAAAATCCCAGCAGCTAGATCCTGTGTTCCAAAGCTTAGGTCTACGACAGCCAGAATAAGGAGAAGTGCGGCAGATTTAGTGATTGAGAAGGGATATTTATTGCACTGTGGTCTACAAGCAAGATCTAATCTGAGTCATCCAGCCTTGTACCATGGGCATCACCCGCCTGTGCACCTGCCCCATAAAAAGAACAGGAAATCGAGGAAGTGCCACCTGGATGCACATAACAAAGGAAGAACATGGTCTTGCTGCTTGGGTCCTGAGATGTACTAGTACTTTTAGCAAACACCTGGTGAGCCAGAAAGAGGACTGGTCTGGGGCTTGATGGACAGGAGTATCCCTTCCCCCTTTTATGGTGGTATTAGGGATAGAACTCAGAGCCTGTTGCATGCTAGACAAGCGTTATACTTCTGAGCTATATCTCCAGTCTCCTTTCCCACCTTTGCAGAATCTCCCAATAAGCAACCACCAACCAAAACCTTCATGTCCTCAATTTATTTGGCCTCAGTAAAATACAAAGTTTCAGCCTACTATGATGACAAAATGGCATTTGCAAGCCCTACTTCCTCTCACACACACACACACACAAAAAGATGAAAACACCAATGACAAGGAAAAAAGATCTGCAAAAATCTTCCACCAAAGGGCAGGCAACTTCCAAACCAATACCCATTTGATTACCCATCTGTGAAGTGAGCAAGGCTCCCAATATCAGCCACCAACAATTTGCAAAAAAAAAAAAAAAAAAATGGGGTAAAATGAACCAAAGGATGATTGAGTCTAAAGACCACAGCCAGAGAAAATCCCCATGAACCAGGCCAGTAGGCCAAATTTCCACAACTTAAACTATTGCCATACTGTTTTCTCTCCTATTCCAACAAGTATAGTCAATTTGTGCACTACTCATTCATTCAAGAAACATCTACTTAGCATGCAGTAGATGTTCTACATTGGGCTAGACTACAACCTAGACCTCTGCTATGGCAAAAGTCATCTGCCTCCACGTGGCATACAACTGAGATGGCAAATATCTGCATGGATGACCATACTTTTTAAAAGCCTCTTCTGGTATCTTAAACACACACTGACCCTCACTTTGTATTCTAGATACTATGAACAGTCTGCATTCTCCACCAGACCCTCAGCTCCTGAAAGACAGGGGTTGAGTGTCTTTCATCACCACCTTGTATGTCCTTATTATCCAAGAGCTGTCAAATGAATGCTACTGAAAAGGAAAAAAAAAAAAGAAGAAAAAAAAAACAACTTCTAATTTCAAATCTTTTGTTTTGATGTTATTCAAAGCTTTGTCACCAAAGGGGGGGGGGGACAAGAAAGAAGAAAGAGGGAGACTTAGTCACATATATTAAGAACAACATTTAGGACAATTTGGACCAGTCAGCCCCAAGTATAACCACCACTCAGCAGTGTGAGGAGGTCCTAGAAGCCACATACGGTAGTTGTCCTAGTACATCAGGCCCCCACCCCATCCCTCTCCACCCTCACCCCAGCGTTCTCTGGTGTTCACACTCTTCTGAAAAACCCTTTGGAGTCCTAAAGAAAGGGACAGAGAAGTTAGAAGCAGAAGATATATCTTGAACCTCTGCTGGTTAAGAAGGAAGGAAGCATTTAAGGAGAAAGGCTGGGGGCAGGGCTGGCCTGGGGCAGATGTACAAGGGTGCTCGGTGGCTGGCACCGCTGCGCCTGCTCTGGACGTGCCAGGACACTTTTCCTTCCTACACAGCCTGGCCTCTATGCTAGCCCCCGCTTCTTTTTTCTTTCTATTCTTTTTTTCTCTCTCTCTCTTTTTAAAAATGATATAGTCTCCAGGACTGGAGCAGAAAAGGGAAGCCTTGTAAGGTGAGGAAGAAGTTGGTGCGAGAAAGACAACTCCCTTCGAAGGACTTACCTAATCTGACACCGGACCTGCGTTTTAGGGCAGTTTTTCCCGTCACCTCCACTTCCCCAGAGCAGACCCAGAGGAAAGGAGGGGTCTCCCCAGGGTAGCATTCTAGGCCTGCCAAGTAATAAATGGTGGGGGAAGAGAAAGAGTCTCCATGGCCCCTTCCGTGCCCAAGGGACTTGCCTGGGTCGTTCTCTGCTCTCCTTTCCTACCCGCAGCCCGGGTAGTCGTTGCGGGGCCGGTGCCCCAACGCCACAACCGGCACAGAAGTTTCGCGGCTGCAAACGTGAGAAAATGCAGTTCAGCAGAACACCCGCCCCCACACTCCCCCTCGGCCCCACCCCCGCAGCCCGACCCCTGGCGGTGGCAACCTTGGCTACCCAGGACGCTCCAGGGGACTGGAGGAGGCGCTGCCTTCAGGGCTCTCCTGGGAGGTAAGGGAGGCCGCCAGGGACTGCGGCCACCTTCACCCGCCGTCAGCCACCAGGACAGGCGCATCCAACCCCGCGTGCGCGCCCTCCGCTGCCTGCCCCCCGCCAGCGCTCCTCTGACCCCCGGCCCTCACGGGTCCCCGCGCACCCCCTCAGCGCCTCTCGGCTCACCGGCCCGTGGGGACGCCCAACTTACCCTGCCGTGCAGGGGCCGGGGCTAGTCAGGGTGGGTTACATCGGAGTAGGACCGCCTCTCTGGCGGTGGGGATTTCTTAATCGCGCTGCCCAACTCTCCGTGTCTGTCGCGCCTCACGCTCTTCTCCCCCTACTCTTTACCCCCTTCTTCTCTCCTGTCTCTCGGCTCTTTTTTCCGGGTTAATTACGTTTCGCATTAAAGCAAAACCCAGCCCCGGATGTGAGTACAATGCTCCGCGGAGCCCGCCGGGGGAGGAGAGGGGTGCCGGGGCGCCGCGGGCTGGGAGGGGGCGCGGCCGGGCGCCGCGGGCTGTGCGGAGGAGGCGGGGGCGGCGCGCCTGTGAGGCTGCCCCGGAGGTGGAGGCGCCGGCCCCGCCACCTGGCTGTCCGTCTGCGGACGCGCAGGTGCCTGCGGGCAGCTGAGAAGACCGTCACGCACGCGAGGCCCTGCCCGGGTCGCCGAGCCCCGGGCAGCAGGTGTCCAAGCCCGGGGAGTCGTAGGAGGGAGGCTAGCTAGAGCGCGCGCTCTTTAACCCCAATCCTTCCCTCCTTGAAGCCCCACCGAGCTACTTCAGCCCGCCCTCACTAGGGTCCTGAGCCCTAAAGTCTTTCTGGGACTGAGCAGTTAGATTTAGATTTGGGGTCGAGCGAATAGTAGATTCTTCCGGGTTGTCTTGAATGGGACCCAAGAGCCCAGTGGGCCGTAGCGCTCTTAACTGGGATTATAGGAACTTTTCAGAGTGTGAGCAAAGAAGCCCCTCCTGCCCTCAGAGCATGTGGATATTCTGGGAAGAAAAGGGGGAAAAAATTTAAAAAAGGAAACAGACAAGTATGCATTACTCAGGTATTGTCCAGGGGGGATCTAAGAGAACTACTGTGCGCGATGCCGCCCCGTGTTACCGCATCAGTTCCACACAGCAACCTCTGGGTATCAATCCCGTTTACGATGAGGAAACCGAGACTCAGAGATGTTAAGTAATTTGCCCTGGGTCCTCAATTAGTAAAAGGCAGGTCTGTGGGGTTCTGACGCCGCCGGCCTCCCACGTGGGGAGATAGTCACTTAGATATTCCTAAAGCTAGGCGGAAGGACAACATCCGAAGCCTAAATATAGTGGATTCACCTTGGGACAGAGCACCGCGAAATGTCGCTGCTGGGGATTTTGATGCAAATATGGTTAAGTATGTGCTGTAATAAAGAGGCTTCAGGAAAAGGAGGGCAGAAGAGAAGACGACAGTGAAGGCTTGGGAGGGTGGGGGGGGGGTGTGCAGCTCAGTGGCAGCGCTTGCCTAGCAGCACAGGGTTCTGGGTTCCTCCCCAGCACCGCGGGGGTGATGGGGTAGGTTGTCCAGGACCAGGACTGGATTGAGGAAAGGAAGGAAAGGCCCGTCCGCATCCCAGTATTGAGGCAGACTATAAAAAGACTCCCCGACCCCTGAGCTAAGCAAGTCTTGGGGGAGAGAGGGCCAGGTGAGCCAGGAGGAAGGCAGAACAATCCGCAGCACACACCCCGAAAGCACCAATGATGAAACCACACAAGTTTCCTCTTCCATTTTGATTGCTACAGCGAAAATGAGCCACACCGCTCTCTCAGGTGTGAAAAAAAGACTGTTTGCTTTAGAACATTTTGCTCTGAATGAGAAAGAAAAGGAGGACACAGAAAAAAAAATTCTAAAACAAATCCATCAACGTTAATATTTGTGTGTGTGCGTGTGTTCGTTCCTGGAGGTTTTTGACAAGCAGCCATATCAAGTTGATAAGGCAGCCATATCAAGTTGAAGAGTATCTTCTCTGACGCAGAATACCTGGAGTTTGAATCCAAGCCTTGGTGCTTATTACCTCTGCTCCCTGGGCCAACTCCTTAAATGTCTCACAGCCTCAGTTTCTACATCTGGGTCGTTATGAATCATCATTTGCAAAGCGTTTAGATTGCTGTTGAACGTGATAGGGCTATATAAGTGTTTTTTTAATTATTGTTTTTAGTGTGGAAAGGAGCACAACTCCTTTTGAGGATTCATACTGGAAACCACCAGTTCTAGTTGAATTTGCTGGGAGCAGCTTATCCAACAAAACCAGCTGTAACTGAAGATTTCTAGTATGAGCGGTGAGGTGAAAGTTTCGGATTTCATGGTATGGTTCCTATTAAAATCCATAAAACTCTACTCCCTGTGGGGCCTGCCTGAATCACTCATTCACAGAGCCACAAATATTTTCTGAGCACTACTGTATTGGATGCCTGGGAGGCAAAGGCAAGGCAAAAAGGCCTTGGATCTCTTTAGGAGGATACAAGTATGACTAGAAGGTCCAGGCAGTCTCTTGCTCTCCTGGAAGTGCCACTGGACTGGCACAAGTGAGTTGTGCTATCAGCATTTAAAAGAGTGAGATGTCCCTATGGGTTCAGTTTTCAAGAAGAAGTTGAACTTTGAAATGAGTCTAAGAGGTCCATTTTGGGGTACAGTTTGACTGTGGTTGGGAAGGGCAAGAACATGGGCCCAGGGGAGGGCAATCAGTGTACTTTGGATTATGCTCATACCTCTCCATTTAGTGCCACTTTTGCCCCAATCAGGGCCTGGCCTCAGAGGACAGTTTATGCAGTGATGTTCACTCCTGCATCCCTGGGTTTTCCAGTGCTTCCTCAGAGGACACTGTACACCCAGATCCTCTAACAGGTACCATAGAGCAGTTGTCAATTGATGTGTATCCTGCTATAGTTCTTTTGTGCTCTCTTGCATGTGTATTCCCCCTCCTCACACCACCACCACCCCCCCCCCCCCGACTTTTTTCCTACGGTAAAACACATACACTATAAATGTCACTGTTTTTACCATTTTAAATTTATACGCAGTGGCATTTAGTACATTGACAGTGTTGTGCAACTATCACTATTATCTAGTTCCAGACCATTTCCATCACTCCTAAAGGTGCCCGCATACCCATTAAGTGGTCACACCCTATTCTTATCTTCTCCTGGCTCCTGGTAATTAATAACTTGTTTTCCATCTAATCTGTAGGTTTGCCTAAAATTTGATATGTCATATAAGTGGAGTCATACAATATGAGGCCTTTTGGGGTCTAGCTTCTTACTTTTATCATTATTGACACATTTTTAAAGTATATCCATTATCAGATTTCATGCTTTAATTTTTTTTTTCAGTACAATAAACAGCTCTGAAAATGTGACTCTGTGGAGAAAGGGATGTCAAAAAAGAGCCTTTCACATCAGCTATTTCAGTCTCCTCGTTGGACCACTGTAAAATGAGATTCAACAGTTTGGTCAAGATTTTGCAACTAGTTAATAGTAGAGCTAGTTCTAGAGTCCAGGAGTCATTACCCCTAGAATCTTCTAATATTGGGTAGGAACTATTCCATGAATGTGGAGACATCTGGCTCAGAACCTAAAAATCTAAACAGAAAGTTTCATCTTCTTTCCTAGCCCATTATATATATATGCTTTATGTCCATTTTCAGTGTTGATGGCTAGTTAACTAGATCACCTAATACCCTCCATTTGTGAGCCAGTGTACCCTTAAGGGAACTGTATTGTTCTTTGTCCTCAGACATACCCATTATATAAGGTTTCATCTTCAGCTGAGACCAGTTAGTTCCATTGGGGAAAGTATGGGACTGAAGAGGCCAAGGTCATTCTTTTGATCCTGATTCAAGCCAGTTAATTTTGCACAGATATAAATTTCTCCAAGGCTACATGTTGCTCATCTAATGTTAGCTGGTCATTTTATAAGTAGTTGTTATTGGTTTCATTAGCAAAGTATGAATGGTTCTGCACCATTCATTTCTAGAAAGATTACTCAAACTACCATTGTTCTGTTTAGTCTTATTCATTCAGCAATTATATGAACCTGTTACCATTTTTCTCCCATTTCTCCCTTGCATTTACTTGTTTTTCAGGTATTTACTAAATACTAATTGCTTTGCATATATTATCTCATTTAAGCCTTACAATGACACTGAGAGCCAAGTACTATTATTTTCCCCACTATATGGTGATGAAGTGACTGAGGAATAAAGATGAAACCTGAATATAGGCCAGGGCAGCCTGATGTCAGATTTCTGGACCACACTGACGGATGCCATGTTAAGCCTTGTGAAGGATGCAGAAAGACAAACCAAGACTCCTTCCCCTCCATGTTTTTTATACTTACCATTACTTAGAAAATTTATTCCATTTCACCTAGCAATTTCATGTTGAAAAGTGTGTTCCACAGAAAGTTATATGAGTATGTAAATGTAGAGATATATGCACACACTATTATGTATATGTATGTATTCACCGCAGCATTGTTCATAATGATAAAAAATAGAGATCATTCTCATGCTCATGAACAAGGGACTGAATAGGTAAACAATGGAACATCCATGTACTCTTATACTATACCAGTGTTAAAAGAAAATGAGGCTGGGCATGGTGGCCCATGCCTGTAGTCCCAGTGACTCAGGAGGCTGAGATAGGAGGGTTGCAAGATCAAGGCCAACCTCGGCCCTAAGCTGCTTGGTAAGACCATGTCTCAAAATAAAAAGGGCAGGGGATGTAGCTCAGTAGTAGAGCACCCCAGATACAATCTCTAGTACCAAAAGAGAGAGAGAGAGAAAGAATGAGATCAGCCTGGGAAGTAGTCCAGTGATAGAGCATGTGCTTAGCATGCATGAGGCCCCAGGTTCAATCCTCAGCACAAAAAGAGACAGATGATTATCTATATTAAAAATACTAAATATTTTAAGTTAAAAAAAGCTACAAAGCTATATGTATAATATAATCCTCTTTCTGTAAATAAATATTTACTTACATGTCTTTACTTATAACTCTTTATTCATGAAAAAGGTCTAAAAGAATACATTCCAAATTGTTAACCACAATTCTCTTAGGGCAGTGTTGGAGAGGTTAGAATAGTAAATTTCACTTCCAACAGATGTGTTTTCTATAATATTTATTGTTTTAAACAAAAAACAGGCATTTTATTTACCAAAAAAAGAAGAAGGGGGCTGGGGTTGTGGCTCAGTAGTAAAGCACGTGCCTTGCATATGTGAGGCACTGGGTTTGATCCTCAGCACCACATAAAAATAAATAAATGTATTGTGACCATCTACAACTAAAAAATATTTTTAAAAAGAAGGATGATTTAAAT